TTTCAAACTGATATTGTTTTTTGTAAATAATTCTCTTTCTTTCTGTGGTGACCCTGCAGCTGCAAAGAAGGCTCAGTGGCTGCAGAAGGAGGAGAAGGCCCGGCGTCTGAGGGAGAATCAGCTGGAGGAGCGCAGGAGGAAGCTGGAAGAGCAGCGGCTGAAGGCGGAGAAACGTCGAACGCTGCTGGAGGAGAAACAGAGACAGAAGCTAGAAAAGAACAAGGTGAAAAAGTCAAGGTTCCCATTTATCTGTTTGGTTCTTAAAGTTGACATCTGAATCGTCCCAAAATAGACTCTGTAACAAACACTGCATATTTGAACCCTTTCATGTTATTTTTTAGGTTGATTTTGATGATTATCTGTTTAGCTGTTGGAAGAAGCAACCAATACTCAAAAATAATATTTATGTCCAGTCACAGAATAAGTTTCTGCTCTGCTTAAATTGAGCGCTAAATAGGATAAGGGAGTGTTTATGTAACTAAAACACTCTGCTGTACACAGTTTTTAGTATTCAGTGATTTCCCCTGGGACTTCAGATTGATAAATTTTACTGTCTGACTGTGGAAAAACTGCTTTGTTGGATAACAGCACCATACAGCAGTAACTAGTCGTGTTGCCATCACAGAGAGGATGCCAAGCATTCAGCAAACAAGCTGCACATAAGTGTTGGATGGACAAATTAATTGCTGACATCATAAAATATTCCCATTATGTAACTAATGAGCTTCAGGGCCTTTTTACACTCGATCCAGTTAGGTTTGGCTTCACATTGCAATTATGCAAGTGCACTAAGGAACCCTACGTGACATCTAAGCCTCCTGTCTTCCTTGCATACGTTGGCTGCATCTCATTATAATTTTGTGACCTCATTTACCATGCTTTTGCATGCTGTCATTTTGAGTAGATTAAAATAAATGAAGAGATTCACTTTTTACAGGTTTACACACTGCTGCTGTGATTTAGCCTCTTTCATTCTACCTGAAAATCCCTGTTAGGGGATCCTAGTACACTCATTTAAAGCTCCAATATTACTTCTAGAGTGACTCAAAATTCAAAATGATCCTTATTTACTTTACACTGGCCCTAGTTGTAGCTCCCAATTACATCCACTGTCTAAAACAAGCAGCTTAAGCTATATTTCCCTCATCTTTAAGCCAGGTTCATTTTGATTGGCTGCTCCTGCCAAATGGAAGGTTTTAACAGCAAGTGGGTGGGGCTGCTGGGCTCACACTCAGAGTGCAAGAGATTATCATATTAAAGATATCTACTCTAACTGACGTCACATCGGGCCAAGAGTAGAAAGAAACAGTGATTACCTTGTGGTTTTAACCTTTGACTGTGCAGCATTAGTATAGTATACAGACAAGTGACCAATAGCCACGTGACATTAACTTGTCCACTCTTTTGGACATGTGACAATCATGGTGACAATATAAGAGGATCAAGTGAATAAGACCCCAGCCTCACAGACATACAGACCAGTCAGTAACCCCATTGTACCCGCCTGCTGCTAGTGGAAAATTGTTGGCAAAAAAACATTGTGATTAGCTTGGTTGTTAGCATTTTGCTGCAATCATAGCTTGAATTGAACTCATGGACTTGCTGTTCAGAAACTGAAAAGTGTGATACAAACTGGAAATGGAGACCGTTTGCCTTCAAAGTAAAAGTTTAAAACATGTTGGCCACAGGGCTGAGGCACAGCTTTTACTTTGAAGGAGAACCTTATCCACTTCCAGTTTCCTTTGCACTTTTCTCAAGTTGTACTTATGCTGGACTAGTAATTACCTATTAATTCTTACCAGCATCTGTCAGACTCTATAACACAGTTAAACATCCTTTTGGTTATCGAACACATCAGCTTGTTTGTTCACTGCACATTTTATACAGAGTCCTGTGCATTTTATACATGTCTCCGTACAATATTTCTATACATATTTCTGCACCTGTATATACGAACTTCAGTTGCTTATGTATATATGACCACCTTGTGTCTTCCTTTTATATTTTATATTCCCCTTGCTATAAGAGCTGTGTAAAACCCAAATTTCTCATCTGTGGGATAATAAAGGTCTATTCTATTCTATTCTATTCTATTCTAATAATTAAGCTGTTAGGCTGTCACTTCTGGTGCATATTTACTATAAAGATGTCATAGTTTAACACTGACTGTGTGTTTCTTCATGTAGGAGAGATATGAGGCAGCTATCAAGAGATCGACCAAGAAGACTTGGGCCGAGATCCGCCAGCAGAGGTGGTCCTGGGCAGGAGGACTAAACCAGACTTCCCGCAGAGAGAGTGAGTTTCAGATGAACCTAAACTATAATTATAATGATAATAATAACAGTAATACAAGCACATATGTATGTTGTTTTCTCTGTTAACTCAAGTCTTTGTGCTGCACAGACTTGTGACTCACTGCTTCAGCTGATGCAACTCAAGGAAATAGCTCATGAAGGGTTTGCTGTCACAAGGGTGGGGTACCAGAGGCAGATGACCTACCCAGTAATTTATGATTATACCACTCGTAATTCCTCACTGTTGTTTGGGCAAAAATCAGTCCTGAGCGTCACAGTTGTTCATTTAAACTCAGAAAGACAAGCTTGAAGGTAGCCGTCACGCTCACGTTTCATTAGATCAGAAGTGTGAAGTGTGTTTTTTCAGGGAGCTGTGAACTTATTTCCCCGTTTTCAAACTTCTGTTAATGCTGTGTGACGGGGTGGTGCTGAGGTCAGCACAGTTACCTGTCCGCTAAAGTGTGAAAGGCCCTGATTGTGTGTGGAAATGTGAGTGATATTTTAGTTTTGGTAGCAGGAAGAAAGCTCGAGGTATTTACTCTGAAATGTGACTTCTAACTACACCCCCCCTCCCACACTTTCCCCCAAATTTCCTCCCCATTTCCCTCCAAATCTGACTCCAGATTAGATGATAGTGAGTCTGATCTCAGAAAACGGTGAGTCCCTGTTCACAGCTGCATGATCCAACCAAAGCAGCCCCGTCTCTTGTCAGCCCTCAGCTGGGGCCGCCGCCTGCACCCCGGCCGCCTTGTGAACAGTTGTTGTCTGTTGCGTTCTCTCCGGTGCAGGCAGATGCTCGGCCTCCACGGTCAACTTGCCAAGACAGGTGGACCCTGTCATTAACAACAGGCTGTCCAAGTCCTCTGCCACGCTCTGGAACTCCCCCAACAGAAGTAAGGACGACCCGACGTCAGTGTCCACCAGGCTTCCTCTTCCCTCTCCCTTTCCCTTCCAGTTCATCCCCTTCCTTTTCCACCTTCCCCTTCTCCTCTTACCCTAATCTGGTTTTGTTTTATTATAACTGTCGTCTCTGGTGGCCTGCCTGCCTGCCTGTGCTTGGTGACTGGTCATTTACCACCTACTCCCTCCTCTTAATCACGCTCTCGGTCTCGTGTGCATCGTGTTTTTTTTTTTACTTTTTTCTTTAATTTCAGTTGGTGGCTTGTCATTGATTTGAGTCTCCTCTGCATTTTTGATCAGCCTCCCTTTCACCTTGACATCACTGAGCCATATTTTGTGGTGTTTCATAGGCTTATAAGTTCACATCTTGTCACCTCCTTTTTGGTTGTCCCCTCCACTGTACTGTTGGTGGTTGGCTGTGGTGGTGGTGGTGATGGTGATGGTATAGGTGAAAGGTATAGTGTGATTGTTGCAAGTGAATCAAGTTTAGCAACTAAATGCAAATATATATTTTTATGCTGCCTTAAACTATACAATATTGGATTGTTTCCTTTGGTTTTACATGTTTATCAATATAATGGCTCAGTCACACTAGAGTAAAAAAGGACAGAAACTTCATCGCAACTAAGAAACATCAGTAGTGGTCCAGGGCAGTGGTCCCCAACCCCTGGGCCTCGGACTCTGAGTCGTTTGGTACCGGGCCGCGAGAGTTGAGGCTCGGGTGTGAAATGTATGGTTTTCAGGGTTTTTATCGGGTTTGAGCGTTATTTTGTTATTGTTTTTATCGTTAACTCGGTTCACGTGTGTTATGAATAAATCTTAATTTTTTCGGTACCGGTACTAGTTTTATTTTGTTGTATTTATCCGCGACACCTTAAAGGCCGGTCCATGAAAATATTGTCGGGCATAAACCGGTCCGTGGCACAAAAAAGGTTGGGGACCGTTGGTCCAGGGAATCTGCAAGTAGTTTTGATCTCAAGGGTTTGACAGTAATAAACACAGACAGATTGCCAAAACATTGCAATCAATCTGTGCTGATGAGTGCTAATTAGCTGGGATGCATCTCTTTGCAATAGAGGGCGTTACTCAACTGGTTGTATTCTGATTATATGAGTGTAAACAAGCAAGGTTGCTGTGCACCCATGTCATTTAAATCGCCATCCAGCAGCAACAACTATTTTTAGAGGAACTTCTGTTTCAAGCCTGTAAGGTTATGGCTGGACTCTCACCATAAGTAGCTACTGTGAATTTCTGTGTATGTTGACAGCAACAGCTTTGCAGCTAATTGCAACAGATTTGTTCATAATCACTGAATTGTTACAAACAGATTGCACATAATTGCTAGCTTGACTCTATTCAATCACAAGCTGGTAGGAGACTAATATCAGACTGACGCTGTTTTATTTGTTTTATCGCACCAAAAGCCACTTTGATGATGGCATCTGACTGCAAGACTAAAGCAAATGTTTCAAAGGCAACAAGCTCAGACGGTTAATAGTTTTGGTCATGCCACAGTCTCCGGCCATTATTTTCCCTGTGTTGGTGTTATTCTTTTATCATCATAATAATGTTGATCCAGGATCAACATTGCCATGATGGTGTCTGAGCATTTAGTTTAGCATTAGCCAAAAATTTTGAATGACCAAAATGAACTAAAACCAAGCTGAACGTTTGTTTTAGAAGAGTTTTATATAGACAAATCCATTTTTTTCCCTTTTCCCCACATCGAAAAGCTATGACATCACCAATGTGATTAATCTGTTACAATTTTGATCCTGGACAGACATTATTATACCGATGCAGCTACAACACCAGCACGCAGATATCAGATACAGTTTTTTGACTGTAGTATAAGACATTTTCTCAGTTTCTTACTTTTAGGTTTATGTAAAGATACTTTTCAAGTATATATTACATCATTCCTCTTGTTCAAACAGTGCTTAAAATTAAGCAACAAGCCCTGCAGTTCAAATAAGAAACTCATCATGAAACTGTGCGAGCTAGCTCTGTAAGGTTCAACAAGAAGTTGAAAAGTTTTTTTCTCCAAGATCGTGTTTATGCTTAAAAGTGGATTTTCTAATTTCCTGAATTGTTGGTATAACTTAAATGGGCGTTAGCACGATTATTTCTACACCGTGTGTGTACACTGTGCACATAAGTCAAGCTAAACAGCAACATCAGCATGCTAACATGCTCCCAATGCTAACGTGCAGACTTTGAGCAGATATAAAATTTCCTTAGTTTACTGTGTTAGCATGCTGGCATGTTTTTATTAGTACTTAACACAAAGTTTTGCTTCAGAAAGAAAATGATAAAATGGAGTACTTGGAAGCATAGCCATCAACCTGAGTTAGTATGACAGTTTCACCGTAGCTCATCAGTAAAATGAAAAAGCTACTCAAGTATTTCTGTCATTGTTGTTAATTACATTGTTGTTGTAACACACCACTTGACAGATCTAGGTTTGCTATATATATATATTTATATAAAGC